ACTTGCTCTAGGCCTCTGTCCCAGTTCTAGTGGCTCCAAGCATTCCTTGGCTTGCAGCTGTGACGTCACGTGGTATCCTTCCTCTGTTCCCTTTCTCTGTCTCTTCTTCTATAAGGACACCAGTCATAGAGAGTAGACACAACTTCCTCTAGTATGACCCTACGTCACCCTAGCTGATAACCCTTCAAAGACCTCTTTCTGAACAGGGCCATGTTTACATGTATAGGGTTAGAATTTCATCATCTTTTTTTTTTGGGGGGGGGTTACAATTCAGTCCCTAGGAGGGCACAGCCAAGAGAAGACCTGGCGTTGGCCTGGATGTAAGTGCCCTCCAGCTCTTCGGCCCTGGTGGGCCCCAGCCAATTCCTAACCTCGCCTCCAGGGTGAGCCCCCGGCGGTGTGCTGCCTCGGCCCATAGAGCTGGTGACTGCAGTCTCCCTCCTCACGTCAGGACCTCCTCTCTGCTGCTCCTCTGTAGGCCGTCAGCCGCAGTTCCATCCCTGAACTGCCCTTTGCTAGTTCTGGGCGCTGCTAGCGCACATTGGCCCAGCTGAGGCTTAGCCTGAGGATCGGATGTGCTACGATTGTGTTCTTCCTCATGAAACTAATGCACTTGTGCTTGGCTTGAATCGCAGTGCTGGCCCGAAGAGCCGTGCAGGAGTACATCATCATGGCCATCAAAGAAGTGCTGCGCGTCCACTTCAACCGGGCCGTGGAGCTGAAGGTGAGCCCCCTGCACGAGAGTCTTCATCTAGTGAGTCCTCGCAGCACGGGAGTCTTGTCTAATGTGCAGGGGGCTGGGGCGTGAAGGCCCGGGCTGCATGCAGATTAAACGAGAATAGCACTGAATAGCATCGAGTCATCCTCTCGCGCCTTTACCTCTGTTCTCCTGGTCAACAGCTGCTCATCCCTTCCCTGCTCAAACCTCACTTCATCCGGGAAGCCTTGCCCAACCTGGTGAGGTCAGGCTTAGTCCACCAGTCATGGTGGATTGAAAGAGTTGGAACACAAAATGACTGGTCTCAGACCAAAGAGCCGGAGTGGTGCAAGTGGTCTGCTCTTGGCTACTGACCTCAAGGTCTGTGGTTCGAACCCACTCAGCGGTTCCACAGAAGAAAGTCGTGGCAATCTGCTTTTGTAAAGATGACAGCCCAGACCCTAGGGAGCAGTCGCTCTAACACCTGAGCTTGGAATCCATTCCGTCCACTCCCGAGCAATCGTAGTTTCTTTTTGTCAGTCTAAGACCAGAGGCAGCAGAGTACAGGGTGAGGATTTTGCTCCCCTTGATTCACGTAAAGGGGTTAGTGGTTAAATTAGATTTAAAAGTAAGTACCGTATTTTTACACAATAATGCGCATTATTCTACAGCTCTTTTACTTCATGTCATCATTTCTGTGTGTTACTTGTGTGGGTGCGTTATTTATGCAGGCACATATTTTGTGAAAAATACGGTACTTATGTATTTTTCTGTATGTTCAGTGAGATAGAGGTTGGTTTCCAGGTCTTGTATACTGGACCCCTTGCTAGTGCTGCCTCTACCCTGGTGAGCTCAGGAAAGCCACACTGCAGGCCTGCGCTGTCCCCCACGAGAGCCACCATGAGACCCGTGGGGCCACTGAGCAGGTGAAATGTGGCCATCCAAATGGCAGGTGCTCTGACTTTGAAATACATATCGGCTTTTAAAGACTTAGTACAAGAGAAGGAATATAAATCGTCTTATTAACTCTTCTGCGCTGATCACACATTGAAGTGATGTCTCAAGTCAAGTAAAATACATTTAAGGTTAACCTCACCTGTTTCTTTCTACGTTTTTTAGCGTGGCTCCTAGAAACCTTAAAACTGCTCGTGTGGCTCCCATTCTGTCTGTGTTGGACAGAGCCAGTCGATAGCAGAGTGTGTCCTTCTATTTGGTTTAAGGGAAACAACAACAACAAAAAACCCGAACTCGCTGCCATCAGTCAGTTGTGACTCATAGTGACCCCATAGGGTTTCCACGGCTGTGAATCTTTACGGAAGCAGACTGCCTCATCGTCTCCCGTGGAGCGGCTGGTGGGCTCGAACCACTGACCTTTTGGTTAGCAGCTTAACCACTGCACCACCAGCGTTCCATTAAGTGTAGCAAGCTTCTTGACTTCTGCATAACTCAGTGTGAGTAACAGCCTGTTCGGTTCCTGTCATCGGGTCTTCTTTGTCACTGCCTGTGGTGGTGTACTTTAGTGCTTTTGAGAAGCGTGGCAGATGTAGGAAAAGGATAGCCAAAGGGAAATTAGAAATCGGGGTTGTCCCTGAAGCACTGCCTGTCCGTTTAAATGACTGGCCAGTTTTAGTTCATTTCACCCAGCACGTCTTTTAAGTTTGAAGCATGGTCGTCCAGACTCGGGGGTGATTATCTGCTTTGTATTTCCTCTCTCAGGTCTATGAGCTAGCCCCTGACTTCACTTTCCTGGTGACATCCAGCCCTTTCATCTACACGGCAATATCGGTCATAAATGTGCTCATCAGTAGTAAGCTTGTGCGTGACCAGACTCCTCTGATCCTCTCTGTGAGACCTTCCTTCTTTGTGCCCGATTCCAGGTTCCAAGTCCAAACAGGTGAGAAAACACAGTTGCATTGATGGGTAAATAGAATTTTATTATTGTTATTTTTGTAATAGATTTAGGAACTTCTGTGGGATTTTAGAAAAAGTCTATTTAACCTTTAAAAAGCTTCGTGATTATGGAAAATAACAGATACAGAAGCGCACAGAGCAGTGTGGTGAGACCCCATGTACCCATCACTGGCTTCACCAATTACGGACTGACAGCCAATCTCGTCTTACCCACATGCCCGCCTGCTTCCCTCCTCCCATAGGACTTTGAAGCAGATCTCAGGCAGCGTGTTTCGTCTGTAAATATTTCAGCCAGTGCCTCTGAAAGGTATGTTGGTGGTGTTGTTGGGTGCCATCGAGTCAGCCCCGACTCACAGTGACCCCGTCTTCTGCAGAAGGAGGCACTGCCCGGTCCTGTGCCAGTCAGTCCCTGCTGTACCTGAGTCCATCATGGCAGCCACTGTGTCAATCCATCTCCTTGAGGGCCCTCCCCTTTTTCGCTGACCCTCCACTTTACCAAGCACGATATCCTTCTCCAAGGAATGGTCCTTTCTGACAACACGACCAAAGTAGATGAGATGAAGTCTGAGACAATTAAATGATATACTTATGTGTACATATATGTATATATAATGTGTGTATGAGGATGTGTGTGTTTATACACATGCACACATATACATACTTATAAATACGTTACCTGTATGTAGATATATATATAGATGTGTATGTTTACACATGTACACACATACATACATATTTATCTACAATATCATTGTCACACTCCCTAATATAAACTATTATTCCTTAATCTATTTAAATTTTTATTATGGATATTTTCAAACATGTATGAAAGCAGAGAAAATAATATATTAAGCCTACATACGCTCATGACTAAACTTGAAAAGCTATCAACCTCTTACTGATTTTATTTCCTCTACCCACAATAAGCTTTCTTCAGGGAGCTAGAGTGTGTCACAGCACCACTAGGAATCAAAGTCAACTCAGTGGCACCTAACAACAACAAAGGGTGTCCTAAAGCAAATCCCAGACATCGTGTCATTTCTCCTACCAGTACTCAATCCATTGCTAACTGACATGCGTTTGTTTTTTATATCAGGATCTACATAGTACCATCACATCTTGTGGAGTTGAGAGCAATTCTTTATATCGGCTGATTTCCTTGGCTGCCTTATATAAATTTCCCTAAATGGAAAAAAAAACCCATTAAGTTGTTTTGCATGTATTGTTTTTCATTGTTATGTCACCAAGTCTCTTGGGAAAACTGTACAGTCTGTGTTTGGCTGGTGGCTTCCCCGTGGTCCTCTGTCCCCTGAAGTTCTCGGACAATGATGGTTGGAGCCTCGGCCGCACTGGCCAGTGAGGTGTCCACCAGCCATGTGTCTCTCTTTAACTTTAAAATTAATTGAAAGTAAATAAAATTTAAAATACAGTCCCACAGTCACCTTGGCCATATTTCAGGTGCTCAGTATCCACCTGTGACTGGTGGCTCCCAGGCGGGACATGTAGATGTGACCACCTGTGACTGGTGACTCCCAGGCTGGACGTGTTGATTCAGAACATTTTCTTCATTGCAGGGGGTTCTACTCAGCCGCCCGGAGCAGCGGCTTGACGAGCAGTTTCAGCTTCTGTTTGCTTGCTTTTGCAAGCACCCTTTTGTGGGTGTTTCTCTGAACTTTGTCAGGAGGCATGCAAGTCTGGTTGTCCCCCTGGGACAGAGGCTAGGGAGACAATCTGAGGCTGTCCCTCCTTTCCAGTTTCCTGTTAGTGCTCAGCCTGTAGGCTTAGCGTCCACTGACGATCGCTAGTTACGACATTCTTTCAGGGAGCCTTGGTGGTGCGGTGCTTAAGCACTTGGCTGCTAACTCACAGTTGCCCGTTCAAACCCAGAAAGGTTAGCGGTTTGAATCCACCCAGTGGCTCTGAGGCAGAAAGAGCTGGTGATCTGCTCCCACAAAGGTCACAACGTAGAAAACCCTGTGGGCAGTTGTGTTCTGTCACGTGGGGTCACTGTGAGTCAGAAGCAACGCTCGCCCCTAACACCAACACCGTCATTCTGTCTGCATCTGTTAGCTGACGTTCTCTTGTAGCAAATCAATCCCAGTTCATCCAGGAGGGCTGGATGACGCTTTCCTTTTACATCAGATTTCAAGTAAGGAATTGTGTCTCACAGCCTCCAATGGTGACTGGTCAATTCTTTTTCCTCTTTTTAAGTTTTCTTGTGGTAAAATACATACAATAAAAAGTTTGCCAATTTAACCATTTTTTACATAATTTACTGATGTTAATTACAGTCCCTGTGCTATCCTACCATTACTAATATCCATTTCTAAAACTTTTCATCACCCCAACCAGAGACTTGATATCCTTAAGCAGTAACTCCAGGTCCCCAGCCCCTAATGATTTCTTAATGCCATTATGAACTAATGACTTTATATATATTTGTAATGTTTCACTAGCTGCATCCTTTGATGCTCAAATTGTTATCTGGGGAATTTTTAAGTTCTGAGATCATTGGGGCACCTTCCTTGCGTAGAGTTCCTGGGTGGTGCAGACAGTCAACGTGCTCGGCTGCTCCCTGGCGGGTGGGAGGTTCGAGTCCACCCAGTGGTACCCGGGAGAAGGCCGGTCACAGTCCTTGGAAACCCTGTGAGGCCTAGTTCTTCTGACACACACGGGGCGCCATGGGGCAGGTCAGCAGGAAGGGGACTGGTTTTCACACTGTATACATAGACTCCCTGATTTAAAATTGGCCTCCTACAGTCACACAGTGCGATACACATAAGGGCTTCCCACATTCACATGGTACGACACATGTAAGGGCTTCCCGCATTCACATGGTACGACACATGTAAGGGCTTCCCGCATTCACACAGTACAACATGTGTAAGGGCTTCCCACATTCCCACAGCACGACACGTGTGAAGGCTTCCTGCATTCCCACAGTGTGAACACATGTAAGGGCTTCCCATATTCACACAGTGCCATACGTGTACCTCCGATGTCATGTCACAGAATTCCCTAGTGTCGGTGAACTGGTCGAGTCAGTGCTATTTTCCCTTGATAGTAAGGAAACGCCCGTTCATGGGACTCTCCTTCTTTTCAGTACTTCAGTTCGTGCCTCAGAGCGTGGACACCGGCTTCTGCAACTTCACCCAGCGCATCGAGAAGGGCCTGCTGATCGCGCTCTCAGAAGTGAGGCAGCACCACCTGGGCACCTATAACCTCACGGTGCAGGTGAGAACGTCCCCGAGTGTGGAGCAGAGGCTTCACCCTTTAAGAGGAAGGTGTCCTATCGTCTTTCACCTAGGACCCACTTCAACCAAAACCCACAGCCATCGAGTGGGGACCCTGTCGGAGAGAGTGGAACTGCCCCACAGGGTGTCCAAGGCTGTCAGTCTTCACAGAAGCAAAGCCCAAACCACACCCACTGTCATGGAGTCCATTCTGACCCACAGCGCCCCTAGAGGATAGAGTGGAACTGCACACAGGGTCTCCAAGGCTGTCGATCTTCACAGAAGCAAAGCCCAAACCACACCCACTGCCGTGGAGTCTATTCCAACCCACAGCGCCCCTAGAGGACAGAGTGGAACTGCCCACAGGGTCTGCAAGGCTGTCAATCTTCACAGAAGCAAAGTCCAAACCACACCCACTGCCATGGAGTCCATTCTGACCCACAGCGCCCCTAGAGGACAGAGTGGAACTGCCCACAGGGTCTCCAAGGCTGTCA